TGTGATGGACTTTTCCTCCAGGATCATGTCTAATCCCCTTTTAAAGGCATCTAGGCCAGATGCCATCTCTACATCCTGTGGCAAGGAGTTGCACAGAGTAACAACATGCTGGGTCAAGAAATACTTTCTTTTATCTCTTTTCACTCTCCCAACACTCAATTCGAATGGATGTCCCTTGGTTCTGGTATTGCGTGAGAGGGAAAATACCTTCCCTCTATCCACTTTATTCATCTTTTGCATAATTTTATAGTGCATTCCCCTTCTTGTGTCAGCAGCTGTGTAAATTCAGCTGGCTGTGACTTGATTTCAGCATTTTGGTAAGGAAGCAATTTGTGCGGGTATGCATAACACACTATGTATGTACAAATGTTGACACAGGGAGTGATTTTGGAACTAGAAAACACAGTTTCTGAATCAGAAAGCACAGTCGGAACCCCATATCTGTGGGGGATTGGCTACAAGTCCCCCACAGATGCTGAATAATAGTGAACACTATAATAATGGATAATAGTGAACACTATAATGATAACTAGCATGGTAAAAGAGCAAAATCCAAGAATATGCATTTTCACCTATATCACCAGAACTGGCCAAGCAAGGGAGCCAGAGACCATGCTATGTATTCTTCAACAAGAACTATACCTAGTATGGTCTCAGGCTCCCCTATAGTGGCCAGTTTGGGTAAATACATTGTGAAAATACCTATTTCTATTTTTTCTTTTTTTATTATTCATTTTCCAGATTTCAGACTATGGATAAGTGAAACTGTGGATACTGATCCAGCAGATACAGGGGTCCTACTGTATGTCCAGCCTGAGAGAAACGGATGTCTACCCAACTGCCTGCAGTACTTTTGCAGCAATGTGCTCAATGCTGAAAGGGAGACAGAAAGGAAGCACTTTCTCTTTATAGACATTTTAATGGGAATCCTATTGGCACTTGTATAAGATACGAGTAACTTGCCATGGCTACCTGCAGCTGATTAATGAAGTGCTAGGGTACATCCTGGTTGCACAAATCAGTCACATGACCAGGCATGTGACCCAGACACTCCTTGGCCCTTTTCACTCAGCCAGGGCATGTTACTCAAACCTTATGCAAACACCAGTATGGAAGCATCTACGTACAATACGTAGGTGCCAGGCATCCATAACCAAAGGGCAGCTAAGGCTAAGGATGGCCCCAGCAATGGAGAATGTGACGGGAGAAATTTAGTCCAGAGGCTGGGAAAGTCTGGCATGCAGGAAGTTGCAGGTTCAGTCCCTGATGGCCATGCTTCAAAAGGTGATGGAAAAAGGAATTTACAGGAACAAATACCCCACTAAAAACGGTAAACAAAAGCAACACCAAAAACACGGTCAAAGCAATAAGGCCCAACAGTCCATTCAAGATCCCAAAACAGGCTACAAGTCCATAAGGGAAAGCTTGCCTGAAGAGGAACGTTTCGCCGGCTTGTGGAAAGACAGCAAAGATAGGGCAAATCTGCCTTCCAGTGGGAGGGAGTTCCAAAGGCAGGGAGAGTCTTTGAAACACAGCTGCCTCTTTGATATTGCTGGGATGGTGGTAAAATACTGGAATGTGTTCCAAATACTACTTTTTTCTTAACGGGCTCCTTATAATACTTTTTCATGGCAAGAAAAAATATTCAGGAGGAGGCAAAAACAAACAAACAAAAAAACAGAAGGGCCAAAGGCTTCATTGTGTGTCTCTGCGTATCCTTATTAATTTATTACTTTCATCCTGCCGCAACCCCCCCCAGCTCAGGGCTTAGGAAAGTTCTTTTTGCTGCAAATGCTGGAAGATAACTTTTTGGAGCACCAGCCTAGAGTCCTGTCAGAAGGCCAACACGGGGAGATTTAACAATCAGAGGGATTGGTGAAAAAAAAATCATGCAAAATGCAAGCTTTTGTGGGTGAATGACATGATCAGAGGGACTGTTGACATCATCTTCAGGACTCAGCCAATCCTGAGGGTGCTGCTGCTGTCGCCTTGGGACCCCAACCCCATTTTCCTGGGTCTTTGTGACCTCAGAGAGCCCCACCTCTCTGCTGGCAGATAAAAGGGGCTTGCTGGGCAGGGCAGGAGACCAGAAGGGAGGCCAGTGGCCAGAGGGCAGTCCGGCAGAGAGAGGGACCCAGCCCTCCTGCCCAAGGCAAATTCTCTCCCAAAAGCAGCTGAACTTCCTAAGTGGGCTTGCGAGTTAACAGCTCGAGGCTGGCAGAGATGCATGGCTTGAAGCTGGTTGATGTTGGCGATGGATTGGGGGGAAGTCAGTGGATGTTGGCTGACAGAAGCTGGTGGAATCTCCCTGCGGAAGCTGGCTGAGGCCGCAAGGTGGAGGCCGGCAGAGGTTGGTGGATGAAGCCGGGGGACATTGGCCTCCTGAAACCAGCTGGTGGAAGCTTGGTGGATATCAGTGGATGGAAGCCCAGGCATGTGTGTGAATGGCTGGTGGAGTAAAGGTGTGTGTGTGTCGGGGGGGCAGCTGGTGTGCATGTCTGTGTATGTGAATGGGCTGGCTAGTGCTCCGTGGGAATGTTGCCGGGGCGTTTGTGTGACCCAAGCATTTGGGATCTGGTGGAGGCTGGCTTCAGAAGCGGAATGGAAGAGACGAACGGGTGAATATTCCTGGTGGAAGCCAGTGGATGTTGGCAGGCAGGAATTAGGGATGAAGTTGCCAGAACGTTGGTCGGTGGATACGCCTGGGTTGAAGCCGGTTGACGGCAGTGGACGAGCTGGCCCCTTAGTTGTTTTTCTCTCTCTTGTTCTGTTGCAGGTCCCGAAGCTTCCTCTTCTTCAGGGGGATGTGAGAGACCAGAAGGCAGGTGTCCTGCTGGAGCTGAGCCAGGCCCTTGTCTCCGCTGAGGATATTCGTTTAGCCTCTTTTCCAAAACCAATAAAAGAATTTTTCCGGAACGGTTTTGAAGTGTTGTCTTGTTTGTCAGGGGCTGTCGCGGGATTCTCTTCCCCATCCCCTCATTATACAGTATCTGGGGCCCAATGCCTGGGGTGGGTCTGTGTGAAGACATGGTGTGGAGCCATATGATGTCCCAGGAACTGGGAAAATAATATTTCTCCATGCATGTGTGAGGGAGTGAGCTAGGCATTGTGGGCTCCCTGTCTGAGCTCCCAAACAAGTATATTATGGGTCATGTAGGACAGACACAAGAAGCTAGTGAGCCCTGGTGCCATTCGGAAAAGGATGGAGTTGGGTACCCAAATACTATGGCCACCCCGTAGCAATAAACGAGACTCGCTTCTTCCCTTCCACCACTGCTCCTCCCATGTTTGCCTGGCCTGGAAATTCCGGGGAGCCCTGTCATTTCCTGGCACAGCGTCTCATTCTCTGAGACCTGGCAAGCCTCATCTTCATCAGCAACACCATGAGCACTCTATGGACACCTCCTTGCAGAGTACAAGTGGGGAGAAAAAAATGCCACTTCAAAGAAGCTTCCAGCCCAACTTCTCACGCCAGTGCCACAACCGAGGAAATGGAGATGGGCAATGATTTGGAGATGAGCGTACATTAAAATTTATGCAGATCCATGCCACGGAGAGATGGCAAAAATACACGGGTACTGCAAAATCTGCTGCTTGAGGGCAGCGGCTGCCTCTGAGCGCCCCTACACTGAAGATGCTGCATTAAGCAATTTTTGTTATCATGCCTTTATGTCAAGAAACTCAAGCTAGCATAATTCACCCCCCTCCCCCTCCCAGTTTTATCTTGACAGCTACCCTCTGAAGCAGGTTCAACCGATATCATGATGTTGGCTTGTGGTGTTCTAGCTGCTTCACAGAGGAGTTGAAATTTGAACGCAGGTTTTCCAGAGTCCTAGTCCAGCCATTTGCTCTATAAATCAAAGTGGTTCTCAACAGAATGCATAATGAAGTCAGGTTCTTTTTTTAAAAAATTAAAATCTCAGGTAACCATGCTATTCCACAACAAAAATAAATCTGCAGCTCTGCAGCATTTTAACAAACATGGCAAAAAAAGGTGAAACCTTTCTCCAGGCAAGGTGGAGCTTTGAGGGATTCTTACAATGCTTTAAACGCTTGAAAAACTGTTGCACCAGAGATGGCAGTCAGACAAAAGGAGGCAGTGTATGTGTGTGTGAACATGCCTTTCAGCTCTTTTAAAACTAATGTCATTCTGCAGTTTTATTTGACACAAATTCAATAATATGACATACACAACACTTTGAAGAGTTTACAGTTTCCTTTTAACAGACTCCAGTGGTTGAAGAGGCAGCAATTATTATAAATATGAAAAATATTGAAAATGCTGATGTGATTATCATTATGGGGTAGGAAACGGTACATTCATTCTAGGACACCATCAGCTAAATTACCAACCTGTTCACACTAAATCCTGTTTCAATAAGAATTTAATTAAAGGAAAATGTATGGAGTGTGAGTATAATAGGACCATTTTTACTAGGCAAATGATTAAGAAAGAAAGCCTATGAGGAGAGAGATAATGCCACAGAGGTACATGTCAGCAGGCTGTCTCATCTCTCATCTGGGGCTGCTAAATTCCATGCTTCCAGTTCCCCTGTTGACTGATGTGGGTGTGTGTGGACTATGTTAATATATGATTGCGTAGATGATTTTTTTTTTAAAGGAAAAGAAGAAAGCCTAGGGAAAAAAGACGAACCCCCAGTGGAGGAAAAGAACTGCTGGGAAATGAGGGATATAAAAGGAAATTTGGTGGAGTTAGATGGAAATCAAAGTGTGCAGCAGAAAAACGTGGGTGAGTCAAACTGGACGGGTAAAGACCTGAGGATGATCTTCAACTGAAAGGAAGAAGGGGGAAAGAAAAAAGGAGGAGACCTGGAGGGATGCCAGATAGGATCCTGCGGAAGAATCTTATCTCCTTGAAGTAGACCCCCAAGGAAATCAAACCCTTGGGAAACTGGGAATATGTATTTAAAGAAAACCCATAAACTAAGGCATTAATACAATTAAGAAAAAAAGCAGAAAGATATCATAACCCAGATCCCCCTTGAAAACCCTCTTATTCAAGTAAAGGGGGGAGAGATTAGGGGTTACTAGAGAAAAGGAGTTTAAAGTAGTTGCCCTAGCAGATAAGGAAACTGATTTTGGACAGTTGGATGAAATGGTTTCACCTGTTACAATAAATCCTCTTGATTTGAGATTTCCAGCGTCCTCTTCTATGGAGCAGGGGAAGCTCACAAAACCATTGTTCTAATTCATCGGTACTGACGTAAAAACAGTCAGGAAATGACTGAGATGTAGGATACATAGCTAGAGTAACTACAAGAGCAATTCTTACATGTGAAAATGTTTCAAAATGCTATGAAAGAAAATGGTGCCAGACCATTAACAACCACATATAGTACCTGCACAGCACGAACACCTTATTTACAGCCAATCCGGAACAAGCAACGCTCAGCCCTTCCTGCAAGGCCTAGGTAAGGAGGGTCATCTTAGGAGGGTCCAGGAATTGCTCCTACCACATTTCCCACCCCCTGGATTCCTGTGGACAACTGTTTTTCTGAAACTCAAAGCAGCCAGCCTGTTACTTCTGATTTTGAATTAAGGATATTGGGAGGCGAAGAAAGGTGGGGGCTCTCTAAATACAGCCCACAGGTCACCTGATGAATAACACTGTTGTTGTTGTGTTTTATTTAATACTATATTGTATATTTGACATAGCCATCAGTATTGACTACTAGGGCAAAGAAAGTTTAAAATGAAATTAAGGTCCACAGGTCAATTCCTTGTCTACGCATGGCATCTGCCATCTTTTGTGCTAATGTGAGAAGCAAACATTCAGAAAGGTCTACAAAGAGCAGCTGGCATCTTTTAAGTAAAGATGCAGGTGAAGCGGATTTGCCCATACTCTTGCTGTACTACAGTGTGAGACATACCTATTCACTTCATATGGGTTAAAACATCCTACATATAGTCATGTACAAACATAGCAGCTGAATGACACGGAAGAAATCTAGTAAACACAATTTCTCCAACAAGACCTCCCAATCGAAGACTGTGCAAACCCTCCCCTTACAAAACCCAAGTCTATTCGTACAATACACACTGGTATTGGGGCGCTGCAGATCTTTTAAAAACTGGAAGGGCTTTCTGTCTGTCTCAGGCTATCCCACTCCCCCATTGTCTTTGTGCAGCTCTTTGCACGGCGGTTGAATGCTCAGATAGAGCACTATTGCTGGAGCTCTGAGTTCTACAAAAAGTTAGAGCATACATTTCAAGAGAGGTCCTATTTGCAAGTATGTTTATTTCTTTTGGAAGGAAGCCGAATTCCCTATGTTTTCTTGGCAATCGGAGTGCTGGCCACAGTTTTCCTGACAGTACTTGAGCTCGGCAATGCCTTGATTCTGGGGGCTGCTGGTTTCCTCTGTTTCTGATTACTGCTTTGAAGGGGTTTCAGTCCCAGCATCTCACAGTATTTGTTGCATTGATGGAGAGCCATGAATTGATCGATAAAGGAGATGGAGCAATTACCCTTGAAACCTTTGTACCTGTAGAAGAAGAAGAAAAAAAAGCATTATTATAAATGCACTACATTTTATTTCATTTTTGCAAAAGCCATTATCCAGCCCTGATAGAAGTAGCAGAAAGTTTTGTCCATCTGCTCTTGCAAAGTAACTTCTGATTTCACACCAAAATAATTAGTTTCCACAATGAAATTGACCAGGTCAGTTTCTGTAAAACAAAGTGGTGTGTAAAAGCAGACATTACAAAAGATTCCATCCCTCCCCTTTCTAGCTGAAATGTAATGTTGCAAACCAGAGAGTATTTCTGTTTTTCCCCATAGAATACACCTCTATAGTTAACAGGGATGTCATAAAAAGCTGGTTACAAAATGAGGAACTACTTGATAACATTTTGCTTTCATCCGATTTGAAAGCTGGCAAAGGTTATCCATTCGTTCGTTTAGTCATTTAGTCGTGTCCGACTTTTTGTGACCCCATGAACCAGAGCACACCAGGCCCTCCTATCTTCCACTGCTTCCCATAGTTGTGTCAATTTCATGTTGGTTGCTTCGCAGACACTGTCCAGCCATCTCATCCTCTGTCGTCCCCTTCTCCTCTTGCCGTCACACTTTCCTAACATCAAGGTCTTTTCCAAG